ACCACGCCAGGAAGCCTGAAGTTGAGGGACATCTTTGGAAAATCTTTTTGGCAGAAGCCGATCCAAACTCTACAAAGCGCAAGCTGCATCAAAGCCACCCAACCCGGCCAGCAGCAGGGCCGCCAGCAAGCCGAGACAACAAGCACGAACCCTGAGCATCAAGCACAGCTGCGGCAACGGGCAGTGCACAAGCTGCCGACTGCTAGTCACTGCCTCCATCGGGTATAAAAGGATGTCTCCGTCTTGGACCATTCACCCCTACCTTAGTTTCTCACATCTGCCAGGCCAGAACTGGAATTCTGAACAGCGTACTTGCAATCAAGGAGACGCAAACCAAACCACTACTGTTGCAGGATTCCGCAGCCTCGGTGGATGGCCACCCCTATTATTGGACCCAGCGCCTTTTGCTGCGTTTTCGTGGGAGCTTTTGAAAAAAGATCTTGACAAGGGACCCGCCACGTAAACACTATATAACACTCATGACCACCGCAAATTGTCGTGACTGTTGTCAATAGTTTGTAACTATGACATGCCTAGGAGGTCGCTGCCATTTGACACAACGGACAATCCCATCGTCAGGAAGATTGTCGATGTAATCACTAAGATGGTGATGCTACTGCTCCTCCCCCTACCTGTTCTCTACCAACATTTGTGCCACAAATGCAACAACCACAACTATATGCTTTTCTCAGAATACTCACCTGCCTTGTAGGGAGTGCTCTTCACCATGCCAAACCTTGTAAGCTTTCCAAGATCCGTCCTCATACCTTGCCGAAAATTTCGTCCTGAGAATGAATATACTGAATATACACCCAATAACGGACCCAGAATTCTAAACAATTGAGAAATTCAGCCTATCTGGATGCCCCGCCTGAACCGGCCCATTGCCAGCTTGAGCGTTGCTCGTAGGAGCCGCGATTAGCGCCCACATAATCTGGGTTGGCAGTCGGAAGGTTGGTTGGTTTTGGTTTTAAGTCATTCTCCAGCCCTTTGAACTTGCAACTTTGGTACCAGTGATTACCAGTGCCCTGGCGTTCAGGGTTACAGAGAAGCTCCATTCGCGTTTTTTCCTCACAACCCTTGCCCTGGTTGATCTTCCCAGTGTCCACTCTTGGGCTATTTGCACATGTCCACTACCCACCTCCAAAGGCAAGCCCCCCCACGGCCACTGGCCCTCTGCAAAGTTCTGCTAACTCTATTAACCATGTCCTCCGTCTGGATTTGTCCTTCCTTTTGTGTCTGTGGTGTTGTACTCCTGAGTGTTTCAGGGGTAATAAAAGAACCCACCAGTCTGAGCATAATCAAGGGCTTCTCAAATTGTGGGTCCTCTTGCGAAGGCTATCTGCAGGGGAAGTTTGCTGCGCAGGAAAGAAAATCCGACCCTACCTTCGCGGGACCCGTAGTTCACGTGGTCGGGCATCTAATAGAAGTCAATTGCATTCAATTGCGTTGGTAACTCGAGAGGTTTCACGCTGGCTGTCTTCAGCGCGCCTGACTCTGTAGCTCCAGAAACTTGCAACTCAGGCGCGCCAGTGTTCTTTTTCCGTTCTGGATGCCGGATCGCCTGACCATTCCAGTTGCGGCTGTTGGGTCAGCGTGCTTCTGAAACCGGCCTTCGCAAACCAAATCGTAGCACCCAGCTTCACAGGCCATGCTGGAAGGCCAGGTGAACGCAGAAGCGGTAGACTGTGACAGAGCCGATGTGCTTTGCGGTGCGAGGTTCTCCAACTACAGAGCTTCAACGACTACGGCTGCAAAAGACCCGATCCGGATCACGTGTCAGCTGCCGCAACATATTGGAAGCCTGTTTGTCTACACAGCTGCTCCAATCAGTGCTATCTCACCCTATATGCACCAGTGCCTTTATGCGTGCTGCCAAGCCTGCGAAAATCTGCGTGCGTGTTCTGATTGCTGGAGTGATTTTCGCAGGTTTTCACCAGCCTGTTCAGACAGACACAACTGAACAGCCTTCGACCTTAAATGTGCATGTTCCGGTCGAGCTACTGCTATTGCAGCCCTCTCCTCCAGACTTTGCTGAGAGGGTTCAGCGACAGCGTTGGTCCTGAGAACCATTAGCACCTTGCGTGTGTGCAGCATGTGCGTGCGTGAGGTTCCACACGCAGGCAAGCAAAGTGACATAATCAACAGGACTCCGTTCGCAGGGCAATTACCCCATGAAGGGAGCACGCACAACTGATAGGCAGATAGAATTGCTGACGCATTGGGGTGCTGGTTTGTGTTCGAACTCCAACACACATGAGATCATCAAATGATTGCAGTGCCTCCTCGTAATGTGCGTTGGTGAAACGTGTTAAGACTACCCTGCTGAGGCTTGGAAGCGGTTCCAACGACCTTCCTTCCTGCACATGGCTCTCACGCGCAGGAGTTGCCCACGTGGCGGCAGCACCAGTTCTGTTCAGAAGAGACCGAACAAGCATCCGTTGCAAGACGAACCGTGACAAGTCTACACTGCCTTCTTGGCTGGGGACCAGCCCGTCCGCCAGCGAGCGAAACCAGCGAAGCAGTCAAAGGGCAGATTTCACGAAGCATGAATTTGGATCCAGTGTCCATGCCCTGACAAAGTTCCATGAAAGCTGAGGATCCTCGAGATGTCTGAGCCACGCCTCCTGCTGTGGTCCACTGCCACATCATTCCGGCACCAGCAGGGCCAGGAGGATGTGCGGGGCCTCACCAGGCAAGAACACCCAGGCATGTGTTCACACATGATTCATACGATTTCCTGTCATACCTATGTACAGGATGTTAAGGCTCCATCTGTAGCCACCGTGGTGGACAACCGCATGGCCTCTGCGGAAGCCACAGGGTGCATGCATTTGAGAGCGTTGCGGCAAACACCAGCAAACTACCTCCGAGCTTTCTAGAATCATTGTGTCCTCGAGCTCGTTGAGTTCCCATCTGATACCCCCAAGTCCTCAAAACATGCTGCCGCCTCCACCGCCGCAGCCCAGCTGCTGATGGGCGCAGCACCAACCCTGCAAACATCAAGGCCAAGCTCTGCCCAACATGCCAGGAGCTTTGCGGCCTTCTTGCCCGCCGACCAGCCGGTGTGCCAATTGGCCAAGCCGGCATGGCAGTCGTAGGGCAGGCTGAATTGCCCGTGGCCATGCACGGCCACCCAGGTCCAGTAGCCGTTCACCTGTCATGTACACCCCTGCCGCATCCTGCCGCCATGCGAAGCAGCCATCAGCAAAGGGCCGTCGCCTGCACGTGCTTCCAGACCATGCCATAGCCCGCGTCCACGGCAGGCGGCGCTTTGCCCTCGCAGCCCTTACCCTGCTTGGTGCAGCACCAGTGCTTCTTCTCAGGTGACCAAGCCTCAGCCAGCAAGGAAGGCCGGGATCATTCACAATAGGTTCATCAAAAACACCCTTCCCCAGCCACTCATGACATAAGGCTTCAGGATTCTGCAAAGTGGGTGCGGGCTGATGGTTTTTTT